CACAATTGTAACGCATCTTTTTTACATTCAAAATATATATATTTTTTTTCTATTAATACAAAGTTAAACGTCTGTACACATTTTGTTAAATATCACAGTCATTTCGTATCATTTCTTTTTTTTCTTCTTCTATAAAAAGATACATTTAATATCGAAATAGTTTCTTCGTATAGTTTGGTAAATTTTAATTTGTAAATAATTTATAAAATTAGAACATCTCGGAAGAATAATAATGCACAAAGTCTTTGTACAAACTCTAACGTTTTAATAGTATTAACTTTTTAACAAAGGATCATCCTCTAGTCCTTCGCCGTTGATGATAATTTGTTCGGGTGGTATACTGTATTTTGTTTCACGTTCTAAACTGTAAACTATTCCGTAACCGAAATATATAGAGAAACCTATAGCCATCCATATTGCAAATCTTATCCAAGTGTTTTCAGGTAAATACAATATTAAATAAATATTGATAAATATACTTAGTAATGGGGTAAACGGTACTAATGGCACCTTAAAATTTGTTTTCTCTTGATTTTTAGGCTGAAGACTAAGGGCTATAAAAGCTACAATTACTAACACTGTGAGCAAACACAATCCTATTATTACACCTAAGTTTTTCTCTAATATTTTATTAAAGAAGAAGCATAAAATAACATCAATGCCAATTAAGAGTAATCCTATAAATGAAATAAACAGTACAGACACTCTACTCGAAAGCTTTGTTGGATTTTTCAGTTTCAAAAGATTAAAGATTTGATACAAATAATTCCGTGAGATGGAAAAATTTTCATACACTATACTAGAGTTATTTACTTCTCTCATCTTATTTGATTCAGATAAATCATCATCTTCAGAAGATGAACTCTGTAGCATCATATTAGTTGGTTTATATCTGAAAATAATCCCTTTTGTTAATAAAAATTTACATTTTTTAAATAAATATTAATTAGATTCATTATTGAAAATTATTTCATATTTTTAACTGAAAATATCTTATGATATAAAAATTACATATGGAAAAGATAAATTGGAGAAAATATCTTTACATTGAAAAAGTTAATGATTTTATTATTTAACATGTTTTTAAAAAGCTTATTAAATAAATCAATTATATTATTTTTATTTACATAATTTTTGAGGTGCAACTAGTTTGACAATGGTATTGATTTTATAAATTACAATTAAATTTTTCAAAATATATTTTAATATTTTGTTTTTATTATGAGAAACTTTTTACAAAAAATTAGTGACATATGTATATCAAACTGTCTTAACCACTATAATGTTAATGATCCAGAATAATTCTGCAAATCATTAGGTTTTGGTACTTCTATTTCATGAATAGTCTGACTAATTACAGTATTTCATATACTTTATAAAAAAGAATAATTGTATTGCAATTGGACTTCGAACTCGCATTTGAGTTATAATTTTGTATTGCAATTCAAAAATCTTTTTTAATTCATTGATAAACAAAATAAAATGATCAATACAAAATTAACTCTTTGGTATTTTATGTATACAGTTTCTGAAAGATATGAAAAATTCTTTCCTATTTTATCCATTTGGTTTTTCTTATGATAATGTTTGCTATGTGATTTACAAGAAATAAGAAGCAATTTATTGTAAAAATTTTCAAAATTTTGTTTCCCTCATCTTGTAAAACAACTAATTAACCACTATAATCACAAACAACCAATACCAATATATATAATACATACAGATTAATATAACAGAATGGCTATTGTATAGTATTGATACAAAAAATTTAAACCAAATGTGCAAAAATTAACAATCAAAAAACTTATAAAGATAACTTTCAAATATGAATAAAATACAAAAAAAGTTTATATTTAGGTTTTATTTCTCAAATAAAAAAACTTAATACATAATAATTACATATTTAATAATTACATATATATAAATACATATTTTGCAATTATCTTTTTTAAAATAAACCTACAATATTTGAAAAAAAAAAATCATCACTTAGAAAATTTATTTTGAAGAAACTGGAACAAACATATGAATATAACTTCTAATTTAAGAGATTCATAAAGTAAAATACTTTTTTTAAAACATTTATTTCTCAAAGTTAATTATTGTCTATCATAATTAATAACAGTATTTTTTCTTTGTATTCTTTCTGCCATCTATTAGCACTTTTTACAATATATCCATAATGAGTTCAGCAAGATTACAATGAAATCAGATCTATGTTGCACAATGGTATCCAAAATTCCAGTATGTTGCATACATACAGATTGGACAATTGTTAGATTCAATTCCAGATGTTCCATATAAATGAGTGTTTTTTTGGCAGACTTACATTTTTAAGAAAAATTAAAATTATGTTGGATTATTGAATTATTATTGTGATTACTCAGTATTCAGTCATAGATTAAACCAAAGTTGTATTAGTGCACTCAAGCTTTTTGATACAATGGTCATGATAATTGAGATGCACACACATGAATACAAAGTGGCCATTATTTTAAGGGTTATAACTTATTTTTAACTCTATTACAGTAAAATATACAACAACAACATAATGATTGAGACGAGGGAAAAAGAAAGAAATTCAACTGGTAAAATATAATAAATCTATGTTTATTATTTATAACTAGTTAACCAACTAGATAGGAGATGCATTCCATGTATTCCTTCTAAAGTTACTATAAAATCAAATATAATTTGTTAACAGATTGAAACTAAAGTCAACCTAAAGACATTATCAAAATATGAATTATAAGTGTAAATACTTTGTGATACAAAATAAAGTAATCTTCCAGAAACAAAACATTAATCAATGTAAATAAAACTCAAACCTTCCTTAAAATTGATAGATAGGCCCTGGAAGTCTGGTTTAATATTTCCAACTCCTTTAACACTTCCAAATTCCTAAGCTGTTTGTATGTCATGTTTGTCATACTAGGGTAGCCTGTTTTAAGGAAGAAAAACAAATCAAGGGCATGGCAAGCTATATTCAACCTGACATAATAGCAAACAACACAGGTACACATTATTGGATATGCAATGAAAGAAAAATTTAAAAAAAATTTGAATACGTCAGAGTCTTATATGAATTCCAAAACAGAACGCTAATATCAGATAGATTCAATTTTTTAGGGAACTATCTGAGAAAGGTCTGAGATGGAGACTGAAAACATTAATAACATAATGGTTTTCACAATTACATGCAAAGCAAAATAAGGTTTTTGTGAATTTTATGTACAGTGATATAAAATATATATTAGACAGACCAGCATCTGATACTTAATTTAATTCTATCACATGAATAATCATCAATGTACAGAATTTTAAAAAAATTATATGATGTCCATGTGTCAAAAAAATGAACATGTTAGCATTTTTTGTAGCAAAGTAAATGAAAACTTTCATGAGTCTAGAAATAACTCATACTAAACACTAACACTACTGCAAAATCAATATATCTAATGTTGATAAAGAAAAAACAAATCTCTTCAAAATAATCTACCACCACGTGATATTTTGTGTTTTTCATTATCACGTAATTGCTTTGTGATATGACTTGCAGATTACACACAAAAGATCAATGATAAAATATTTCATAAAATATCAATAGACATAATATAAGTACTTTGTGCAGTTACTTTATTATATAATAAAGTTTGATATATTTTTAATAATCTCTCAAGGATACTGATAAATACTACTATTACTAAAAGTAAACAGATATACAGGTAACCCCCGTATAACACGGCACTTCTATAGCATGGATCCACTCTAACATGGTTCGAGAATTGGTACCACTCCCGTATAACACGGTACTGTTATAGCACGGATTCACTCTGACATGGTTCGAGAATTGGGTAAAACCCTCCTACAACATGAAATGTAATAAATTTTTACATACTTAAGTAATAATAGTTCACGAAAATAATAATTTTCGTGAACTATTATTACTTAAGTATTATTATAATAATTTTCGTGAACTATTAGTACTTAAGTATGTAAATTTTCTTTTCTCGCCTTCTGTCGATACACATGGTCCTTCTCGAAACTTGTTTCAATGTTGCCAGATCGCGACGCTTCTGCTTCTGATGTTGCCGAATGTTTTTCCCTTATTCCATACTTGCTTTATTCTTCATAAGTGCTTAGCACCATATAAGGAAATTTATAAAGACCTTTTAACTAGAAGCAAGCAATCTAAAATTACATACATTTTGCAAAAGGTAAAGCATGGATCTGAAGATAATGCAGAAAAATGCTCAGAGGATAAGGATAACTTGCCAAAAAGAAAACGCTCTCGGTTAATTAATAGTGTTTTTAGTGATGACGAAGAAAACATTGTTTAATTTATATTAATATGTATCACTTAAAAAAATTTTAATGAAGATATTTATCTTAATTATGAAAATATACTAGCATGTTTTTTAATTTTTGGAACCTAACCCTCCTTTTCGTACTAGTTCTTTGTTTCGCATAACACGGCAATTTTTTGGAACATAACTACCGTGTTATACGGGGGTTACCTGTACAGTATTTGGAATTTTTATAATTCATTGATTTTAAATATCTATCCATTATTAATATATTGCTGAGTATATTTACACATATGCAAGTAGTGAATTTCAAAAATGAAGTTTAATTAAAACTTCACTATGATAGAAGAAATTATATGTAGTTTTGGAGCATTTCTTCTATGAATTTTTAATTGTTTACTTGTCCTGAATATTTTATAATACAATAAAGCTTCTTTATAATTATATATATATGATAAACATCATTTAAGTTTTTGTAGATATCTGTTCTAAAAAAATTAGTCCTGAAAGTAATAATAAGACATTTATAACAACTTAAAATAATTTGTGGAAAGTGTTCATTTTGTCTTCTTAATACCCATAGGGAAGAAAAAGGTTTAAAGAAATGCTTCATATTTATATTTTCAAAATATTTTTTTAAACTTAAATATGATGAAAAAATTTACTTCTTCAAAAACTGATTGTATGGAATTAAAAAAAAAACACACACACTCACAAAACCAGTAAAAATTAAAATACTTACTAATATTTTGTTCAAATTAATAAATATTTTAATCTTTTCACTGGCTTTGGATATGTGTGTATGAGTTTTATTCCATACAACTGGTTTTTGAAGTAGTGAATGTGCCAAAACACATGCACTTAAAATTATTTTTAAAGCTTGTTTTGATTATAATTTTAATATTTTAATTCAAGTTATATGAATAAATTATTTTCTTTTTGGGGTAGATGTTTTCATCTGTTGGCACCTGAATATATATATATATATAAAATTATTTAGTTGAAAGTACCTCTTATCAAAATATTGAAATGAAATTGCAATATGAGGTTATTTTTTAAATGCTGAAATTTTGTAGAAATTTACAAATGAATATCAAAAGTGAACTTTTAATTAATTTAACTTTTACATATTTCTTACTCTTATTATTGCATTTTATAAGTTATGATGAAAACTCAAACAAATTAAAAATAAAATGTTTTTTTAAATATCATTCATTTGAGTTGTTAAATTTGTCTAATAACCAAATTGATCATTGGACAAATTTATTTTTATTATATGTTAAATATAGTAAAAATATCTATGATGACAACTGATATGTCTTAAATTATAGTATGTAAAACACAGAATTTTCTATTTTTATTTTGTTTAATAAAAATATTAATTCCAATTTGCAGTGGTGTGCCATGACATTTGATGATAGGGAAGATGTGTTTTGTAAGAAGCTGATTTCCAGGGGCAATCAGTTAATTGCACATTAGTGATTGTCTATGGTCCATTCATGTTTGTTTGTTCGATAAGCCAGTAAAAACCGTAGACTTCTCTAAATGTATTTTTAATGTTGCAATTACATTCTGAATCACTAGCCA